GTGTCCTGGCTGAGGGCCAAGGTGAAGCCCTTCAAAGCAGGGCAATGGCTTAATCTCTGTAGCTTTTCAAGAGCTCCTGGCTAGGCAGAGCCAGATAAGAAGCGGTGCGGTGAAGGCTAGCTACCCTTTATCATTTCAGTCTCTAGGAGGAGTCAGTTAGCATGCCAGTCAAAATCTGCGGGCACTCTGTGATGCCTTCATGGGATTCAGATAGTCTTCAAGTACCTGGCAGAACTCAGCCTCTGCTCTGCCTCCTCCACATTTTGTACTTCCAAGCTACTCTTGGAGGGAAGGAAGCATTGCAGTCTGGTTGCCAGGGTAACAGCCACTGTTCTCGGATGACAGCAAGCTTGAGGAAGTGGATGTTTTGCTGCTCAGTGATGGCATTGTTATTGAGCAGAAAATATCCACTATGGCTCTTTCTCATTTCCATAGTTATTCCAAAGACTCATCTGAAGCATCTCCCTGCCAAGTCTGAACAAGGTTTTAATAAGCCGCTACACTGTCTGTAAACCTTTTGTTCAGACACCACTGAATTCAGTCCTTGTCATTTCCAATCCTAAGAAATTTTGTGGTTGAGGTAATAAGCTGCCTGTTTCTGGTGGTGATTAAGCAGAGACTTATATATGTTTAATTTATTGTCAAAGAAATAAATTCTGCATTGAGGGCTGGCTCACATAACTTTTCTGAATGAGTTTCACTATGTTGTCTAGCTGGCCATTTCTAGTGATCCTCCTGCCTCAGCTTCCTAGGGTGTTATAGGTATGGCTTTACCTCAGATAAGTTCCAATGTTCCTTTCAATTCCAGATTCTATGATTTGACTTGCCTACTGCAATAGTTAAACAGCAGTGCACTCCACAGCCGAAGCAATAGCACGTCACTGTCTTGTCAGATATGGTTGAATAGTCACACTGCCTCAGATACTGTGTTATTGAGTGACTGTGGAGGCAATTGCTACCCCATCATGTATCCCTAGTACATGTATTGTTTACCTAAATATATATCCTTAGTGACACCTGTGTGTGTGTGTGTGTGTGTGTGTGTGTGTGTGTGTGTGTGTGTGTGCGCGCGCGCATGCGTGCTGACCTTCCTCTGGAGGAAATCATCTGGCTTCTGTCATTTTCTTTCTTCTTGTCTTTTCTTCAAGGCTTTATCTCCCAAGGAATTAAGATTCAACTTGCACTACCTCTCTATTTGGAGGGAACAACTTACTCAATCAGCTGCACTCACAACAGATAGGGTTGCTGGTCCAGAGCAGAAATTGACTTCTTCCCACAATTCTTTTCACCTTGCTGCATTCGGGTGATCAAATGGTTCTTATGCAAACATACAGGGTGTGCACAAAGAAAGCCCAACAACCTTGGAAAGAGGAAGCACCAGCCTAGATATGCATTGTTACATAAGAGGTGGTGTCATGAGAATTTACAATGGATACAGAACTTGTCTAATCGACGGGACTGCCATAGCATTCTTACTCCATCTTCCACCCTGCAAGCAGACAAAACAGTTATTGCTGCCCCTGTCTTCCAGATGATGAGGTGGTGATTCATGGTGACATGCCCAATTTTGTGGAGTTCATTAGAGACTGAGCTATTTGGACTTCTAGTCTAGTATGCCACCCTCTTTAACTATTCTACCAACATATACGCTGCTAACAGCTCCCTCAGTGACTTGAGATGGGAAAAAACCAAGGTTAACAACAGTTCAGTCTAACTGAAAAACTACGTCTGTGGATCCTATCAATTTACTGGCTACTATGTTGCATGCTGACTACACTGGGCAATTGAACCTCTTTTCATTCAGGATGTGTTCAAGATGCTACTTTTATCTTTCCCAAGCATGAGCAAAATGTACATTATCTGCAGCATCTTGCCTAGGCAAAGACCCTTATGTTGCACACACCTTTCTCTGAATAGACACTGCTGGACACCAGAACTTCACAGCTTCCATACTTATGGAACATAGAAAAGCCCTCCAGGCTCAGCCAACAAGAGCCCTGAGACAGAAACCATCTTGTTACAGCAGGGATTCAGGCTAAGTCCATGATACTTACTAGAAATGTTGAGCTGCATGAAAATACACACACACTCACACGTGTGCACACACACACACACACACACACACACACACACACACACACATACACATACAATCCATATCTATTCCTGATAGATATAGATTAGACATAGACAACAGTTAATCCATATATATTGACAATGGTAAAACTATTGTGGACTGTATTTTCATTTTCTGAACCTGGAATGCCCACCATAGGCACTGCCATGCCTGAGTTCAATTTTCCCTATTCCTCCGTTCCATTGATGCCAAACAGGCTCTGAAGTTTGTATAGTGGATGTGTGTATTTGATACATCTGAGGATTAGTCAATGTTCAAGTTGCCTCCAGTGGAACCAGGGGTTCCAGATAACCCCACCATAACCAGGTCCTTAAGATCAGTGGAAAGGAGAAAGCAGAAGGGAAGTGAAAGGGTAAGAAGCCACATGGTCGCATCCATCCTGCTGGGCATTCTCTCCAAGGATCTGTGGGACTTCATGTGTACTGATGGAATTTGTTGACAATAAAGCATTATGCTCAGTACAGCAGAGAAGGAATTAATACAATTAAATGTTAAAGAATTAAAACAGAAAACAAGTGCCAAAACACAACTTATTTAAACCACTAGAAACCCAGAGCCCCAAAGTTGAAAATTCTCTTTTGAATTCCCGTGCCTGCATCTTTGCTACTAAAGTTTTTGAGACTCACCCATGTCTTTGGCACTCCGACTCCAATTGTAGCCTGCTGGCTAGTCTGCTTTGCGACTGACTTTGTTCAGCTGGAAGGATCCTGGTCTCTCCAGTCTCCTTCTTCTGTCCTTTACTCTTTCTCTCTGAGTATCTTTGTCCTCTCCTCCTGAAATGAAAAGGGCTCTCTGATTGACAGCCAAGCCCCTTAAAGAGACAGGCTTGCTTTCCTCCTCCTCTCCTCCTCCCCTTCTCCTCCCCTTGTCCCCTCCTCCTTTGGGATACTCCCTTCTTTAAGGGCTCCATTTTCTCTTTCTGCCTTTTACTTCCAGTTGTTTCATATTTTTTTTCTTTTTTTCTAAAGATTCTCTAGAATTTCAGTTTGCTACAAAGACATCTGGAAATGTGAATTGGAGATGGGAATTAAATGGAGGGGTCCTGCAATACTCCAACTGATCCTTGGGTCTGTCTGATGTGCCAGACCTCAATCGAGCACGCTGAAGCTGTGTGAAATAGTAGCCCTGACAATGTGGTCTGGATGAAAGACCTACATGCTCCGAGACCAAATATGCCCCAAACAATCCTTACTCCTAGCTGCCCTTGACCCCAGAACCTTTCCAGTCCCTCTGTTTGTTAGCAGAAAGCATTCTTCCTCCTCCTAGAATTATAATGATTATATAGCTTGATAACAGAGACACAAAGGAGAGGGCAAGATCTGTACCAAGTTCTCAGAAAGAAAAAGGTCGGACTGAAGTTGTAGGTGATTTCTAAGGAGAACTAACAAGACGCTATCGTAACCTGGGAATCTGCTAGTCAAAATTCTGCCCAGGAAATGTAGCGTTCTCGTATGGAAGTGAAGACAAGGCACAGGGAGGCAAGGGGTGCAGCAATTGGGTGTGGGGGGTGGAGAAAAAAATACAGTCCTTGCCTCAGAGAAACGTCTATATAAAAAAGATCAAATAGTGAAAACAGGAGTAATATATGAAACATCCACACTGGTAAGAGTGGTCTCTGGAGACTGTGAAGGGACCCGACTGCCAAATAGAAAGTTAGAGAAAACTTTCTAGAAAAGGTGAGCTTTAAGTGCTGATGTGGGTTCTTTGTCAATTTTCTCTCTCAGTTCAGAAGCCTCAGCCAGTCACAACCCTCTTGATCTAGAAGCAAGGGTCTTTTCCTGAGTGGTTCCAGGGCAAGTCGTCGGGCTATAACAAGAGCAGAGACTGTCCTCTCTATCCTCCTAAGAAATAAGGATGTCCTCCTGAACCTGGTCTTCTGTCTTGTCCTAAGAGACAGCAGAGAGGGAAAGCCATGCAGAACCTAAAATTTTCTTGGGAGAAAGAGATCAAATATTGTGTGTTATGAACGTCTTTTGTGGTTGTGATTTTCCGTGTTTCTGGCTAGTTACACTGGAGTCCAGAACCACACAGAATACAATATTGGCTCCAGAACAAATCTTTTGCTCTTACACAAGCCCCGATGTGAAGGGATGCTTGTATATGCCTTGTATATTCCTCTTGCAGAACAGTAAAGTAGCGGCTTCCCAGGGCAGACCAGACCAAGGCCATGGCTGATTGTTGAGGGTCTCAAGCCCATGCCTTTCGAGGCATGCCGTCCAGACAAAGACTCTGCCTGCCACGGCAGTGCAGTTGTAGTAATGGCCCTGGAGGAGGGGAATGATAGCAAAAGTACCTGACCCTAAACTTGGGCATTCTGATGTAAGGCATAAGAAACAAAATTCTTTGTAGCTCAAATAGCCAAGGCAGATATATGTACAGGGGAAATCGCTCAGTCTGAGTCCTCTTCTACACCTATCTATTCTCAACAGCATCTCGGGGACTGACTATATCCTCAGAAGAAAGTAATTCCCCAGTAAACTCCCAGACACCACCTTATCCATTATATTCTCCTGAGGCCTCTTTTCTTCATCTACCATCTCTACTGTCTTACAGTTCAGTTCATCTCTTTCTCTTGTCACCCCTTCTCTACCTCCTTCCCAGGGGCAGATCTTCCTGTCTCTGCCTTGCTCTTATGCCAATGGCAAGGAAAGGCACTCAGCCAGGTGATTATGTCACACTCCTTCCCAGTGCCCTAAGGTTCCCAGTTCCCTCAGATCTAGTGTGTTGTAGTGGCTCTGTCCATCTGACACTCAGCTTGGACACTCCCTCTGCATCCTTGTTCTAAGTCCTCCATACAATCCTTAGAGGATTTCTTTCAGGTCTCAAAGAAGCTCCCAACCCCATAAACTCCATCTACCCTACCTATTCCTGCGGTTCTGCTTTTACTGGGTCTTCTAAGTAAGTGGATGTTCTCCATTCCAGCTAGGCTTCTGCAATGCACAAAAATTCCTCCAGAGGGCACCAGCAGCCTTCATGGTCGTAGTCGGCGGCCAGCTTTGGGGACCTGTGAGGAAGAACAAAGCAGGATTGTATTAAACTAGTAAACACCGTGTTTCACACTGTTCTTGTAGTGCCACTAGAGAATCTGGCCCTCCTTGATCATAGCTTGGTTTAATTGTGTGACTGTCTTCAATTATCTATAAAATATTTGGCTACTACCTCCATTCTCTCCTGTATTGTCACATAGTACCAGATCTTGAAGGTCAGAAAGAAGGCAATTTTTCTTTGCTCTGCTGAGCTAAGGCATTCTCCCTGAAAACCTTATAAGCACACAAGTACCTAATCTGGTGGGATACTTCTCTGTGTCCACCGAGAAGACGGAAAAGAAAACAGAGAAGGCACAGTACCAGAGAGTTCCTGATCTCATCTGGTGCTATTTGAGAATCTAGAGCTGAGTCTTTTCTTGTCCTACCCAAGACCATGTCATTATAGGCCACATTTGGAAGATGAGTGGCCGCTTTTAACCGTCCCCCCCCCCCACCCCAGTCCTGGCACAGAAATCTAGCAGAATGGCAGGCAATGTATCAAGTCCTGTGCATATGCAGATAGAACTTTCCACACCCAACTTTATGCCAATTGGCTTGGCTATGCCTTTCTGGCCAAGAGAAGTGAGGGCTGAGGACCAGAGATGTCACATTCTTTGATCATGCAGGGTGTGGGAGACAGGGGGCAGGGGTGGAGGATGCTACTCTTTTTTTCTGGTAATTCAAAGAGCAATGCAAGGACAGACAGGAGTGACTGGTAAATTGTGTGGGTATTTACAAGGGAGAGATGCTAATAGCTTGGGATAGGGTAAAGAAAGCAGCTTAAAGGCCAAAATATTCAGACAAACTCAGGAAAAGAGCACCCGAAGAATGCCAAGAAGCCAGTAGCAGTGTGGAAAAAGCAGCTGTCCACATGACCCACTTAGAATCCTGAAAACTTGGCCATCTTTACTGGGGCAGCCCCTATAAAGAAGATGCACAGAGTTATAACAGCAGCAGAATTAAAATTATTTCTGTAGTTATCAATGCTCACCGAACTCTAAGGAACATATTTTATTTTTTTCCAGTTGAGTAATGGGGGGACACAGAAGCAGCTTTCCCAGAGCCCCCTAATAGGCAAGAGACAAAACTACCTTTAGAAGATACCTCTATCCAGAATGTTTGAATACAGAGCCTCTTTCCTGAACGAGAATAGCAAGGGGGAGGATGGGCGGGCTTCTAGCTGCTATGGCCCAAGCTTCTAACCTTCATACTCCTCAAAGCAACGTACAAAGAGAAGGTTCGAAATGCAGTGGTTTTTATATATCTTGTTGGATTTGAAGTAAGTGGGAGTCAGGAGGGGCCATATGACAGAAAGACTGTTGGGTGCTTGTTAGGTGTGGCTGTAACAGCAGGACTGAGTGTGAGTGTGTGTGTGTTGCTTCAGGGTTGATTCAGAGCCTTGGGATTCTAGGCAAACACTACCAAGTTGCATCCCCAGCTGTAGGGATGCTTTTTTTGTTTGTTTGTTTTTTTCAAGACAGGGTTTCTCTGTGGCTTTGGAGCCTGTCCTGAAACTAGTTCTTGTAGACCAGGCTGGTCTTGAACTCACAGAGATCCGCCTGCCTCTGCCTCCCAAATGCTGGGATTAAAGTGCAGGGATGCTTTTTAAAGAGTCTTTATTTTAGAAATCTTCATGGCCAAATGTCACAATCCCCGAGCTGTGCCCACTCCAGAAAAGTGTAGTAGCAACATTCGATAAAATAACATCAGCCAAAACTTGAAACTATTACACCTGCATAAAAACATGCATGTTTATCTTATTATTTTTGCTACTCTGGGTATGACTAAAATATGAAGTCGGAAAAAGAAGAGTCATTACTGTTAAAATTCAGACTAAGCCAGAAACAAAAAGGAAACCATTCCCAATAGGGATGTCTATTTCTGGAAGGGTATACCTAGCCTTGAGAAAGGGGTGGAAATCTGGAGCTGAAGAGAAGCCTTTTTATTCCATGTGCTTTATCATGGCTGTAGTTGATAATTATGTACATTTTATGTCTACTTTATTGAAATTTTCATCTGCAAACTCCGTCAGACAACAGTCCATAGGCCATTCAGGTGTCCTCTGCTGCTTTCAGGAGCCCTTAGCACAGTGGTACGGCTGGCCCTCCACTGTCCCACTTGACATTCACCCTGCCTACACCCTTCTGCCTGCTGGATTCTGATACACAGCTTACGAGGATGGCAGGGTGAGTTGAGGTCTTCAGGAAACCCTCTTAGGGCAGGGGTTAGGAGTGGCTGCCTAGGTCTGCTTTCCATTGGGGAAAACATGTGCCCATGCTAACCAAGAAGCCCTTTACCCAGGAGGTAGCCTGCCAGAAGCACAAAGCCTTCTGCCTCCCTCCGGGTTGCACTAAAGGCTGCATCCGTCCCCCGAGGGATGGGATCTAGCAGCTGCCTAGACCTCTTCTAGCTACAACATCCCTGGACAGTCTCTACAGAGATGAGTCAACCCCTTCCGGTTACAACAAAAGCAATAAGAAAATGTTCTGGACCTTTCAGAGAGGAACGTGGTCAAACCCATCTGCAGTGCCAGCTGAAGGGTCTGAGCTGTGACGCTGCAGCTCCAAGTTGGGGTGCTACAGAGCAGACTGTCCAACCTTGAAGCTAATGGACCTTTCCCGGGAAACCAGGTCAATAGCCAGAATGAAACAGGGGAAACCTCAGTCTTCCCTGCTGAGAACTAAATGCCTCAGGTAAGTGCATGCCATGCTGCTGGAGCTTAGGACAAGTGCCCCCCCCCCCCCACCCGCCGCAAAGTCCTTGCTTTCCTAGATCCCTCTATGCCTCAGCTAAGCCATGCCTGGACAGCTGCTCTGCCCAGCCGCCTGGGCTGAAGTGACAGCCTTGGAGCTGGTACAGGGAAAGACAAGAACTCCTCTGTGTCTAGGTAGGACGGGGCGGGCTTTCGTTTGTGTTGAGCTCCCCCACTCTCAAACTACTGCTGCTCAGAGACGTCACTGATGCTGGGTTTCTTCGAGACCAGGAGTAAGATGAGGGGCTCTGGCCCCTGGAGCTGAAGTCACCTCAGGGACACATGCCAGGTGGATGGCCAGCCCCTGAATCAGGAGGTGCTAATGCTAATATAACCTCTACCCTGGCTTAACTTTTGAGGTTGTGGGCACCCTGGCCCTCGAGGGAAAATGCTTTTGTTTCAAAAGTGTAACTGTCAAAAACTGTAGAGTCTAAGAAGCATTCCTCTTGGAGGACCCCAAAAAGGGTTCCTTAGGTGATCCTTCAACATCCTTCAGAATGTTGGAAGGATTGCAATTACTTCTACAGACTGAATCCAGTAAATTTTCAGAAGGACCTTTCAGAAAGAGTACAGTTCCAGTAGTTTCCTGCAGCCCCTCAGGCCTGCCTGAAGCTGAACCATTAGAAAGACATGAAAATCTTCACCACGATGTACTTTTACTGGGTCTACCATCTTGGCCTGTCCTAAGAAAGTCTATTCAACACACTGCTTTAGAGATCGATCCCTCTACAGTCATGGCCTTACAAAGAGGCATCAGACCTAAGTTTAAAGAAACCCATCTTGGGGTTAGAAGCTGTTCAGTCTTAAATATTCATAAAAGGGACAACAGAGAGATGGCTGGGAGAGGCTTCAGGGGGACGGGATCGTTCCCCAAAAATTGCACTTGGAGAAATTGACTTTTCTTGGTTCCCTAGTAGTCATCTCTCTGTCCACGATAACTGAGCAAAAAGAAAGGTCTTTTCATGGCAACATTCAGGATTGTAGCTAGCCATCAAGTGGCCCTTCACATGCTCAGGGATCTATACGAACAGACAGGATAGTGATTTAAAACATAGGTTGAGGGGTGGAAGGTGGGGCGCAGTGACCACTGTCAAGCATAGCAAGGATCCTGGTTCAGAACCTATCACTAGAAACAACTCCAAACCCCAGCTTCCTTCCTTCGAAACAATCAGACCTGCTAGGACCAGCACATCAGCTCTGTGACACTAAGCAACGATTGAACTCTTAAGTCTTTGCTTTCTCATTCCTAAAAAAGATATAACAGTGGTGCTGATATGCTTACTAACTTCAGATTTCACAGTGGATTGTCCTTCTATTGTTGTTATTATAGGGTGCAGGGACCACCAGGATTCATACAAGCTAACGGACATGAAATTCTTAGTTCACTGCCTCTGCTATGGTACAAAAGCAACAGTAGCAACAACCAGGTCAGAGGACTGACCCTGCAAATGCTTCCTAAACAACAGGCAGAGGCTGAATTTAGTGATCTCTGGCACCAACACCTTTCAGATCTAGGCCTTCTAAAGATCCCCAGAACTTGCCTCTCTTGAAAAGAGGCAATTAGCAACTGTGCTTGGTAGCAACAGTGAAATACCTCGGGACCCACTGGCCAGCTTCATCATTCACTGGTTGTTTTCCGAAGACTCCAACTCCTCTAAGCTAAACGCCATCACCAGCCGCCGATTTTCCAGCAAGAAAACCATTTCCCAAGATGCAGGGTTTTCACTGTGAAAACTGGGTGCACCTTGTGGGGAACCCAAGACAGGTTGGTTAGCTTCCACCAATGCCAGAGAACTACCCGAACTCTACACTTTCAGCAGCTATCTCAAGAGTTGCCAGCCAACATTATGTCCAGACAAAGCAGGGCTGCCAGATGAAATGCATGAGGCACAACTGGATTGGTATTCCAGATCAACTGAATTAGTGTTTAATATGTGTGTCCTAAATGTGGGATGGAACGTGCTCACATTTGTAAAAGCCATCGTTTATCCAAAAGTCCAATGTTAACTGGGTGTTCTTTGATTTGTTAATCTGGCAATTCTACATGTCAGGGCAGTCAGCTGGCAATGGCAAGCCAAGCTGGCTTCTGGGGAAAGTGCCAGAAATGCTGCTAAGGGAACCTCAAACAAAAAAATCGTTTCCTATAGACAGATGCTCTACTCTGAATTTCAGCCCCATTTCCTTCATCTGATGGGCCTGCCTTTGGCCTCTCAGCCCTACTCTCAT